TAAATGTTCCTCCCTGGAGAAAACCAAACACAGGCTTCAAGGTGAGATTGAAGATCTCATGGTGGATGTGGAGAGATCAAATGCTGCTGCTGCAGCTCTCGACAAGAGACAAAGAAACTTTGACAAGGTAATGACATGAAATGGCAGGGACTCATTTCATTTTTAATCATTAGTGTACAACATAATTTAATATACAATTTAACCAGGTCCTTGCTGAGTGGAAGCAGAAATATGAGGAGTCCCAGACTGAGCTGGAAAGTGCTCAGAAAGAGGCTCGATCTCTCAGCACTGAACTCTTCAAACTGAAGAACTCCTATGAAGAATCTCTGGATCATCTGGAGACCATGAAACGAGAAAATAAGAATCTCCAAGGTAGGAAGATATAATAAATCATCATTTGTCTTTTAATAGACATTGAATATGGTTGTGTGGTTGGAAAAACAGTAAAATAAATGAATATGCACAAAACAGAGGAAATTTCTGACCTGACTGAGCAACTTGGTGAGGGAGGAAAGAGCATCCACGAGCTGGAGAAGATCCGTAAACAGCTGGAACAGGAGAAGGCTGAGATACAAACTGCTCTGGAGGAAGCTGAGGTGAACAAATGTTAAATGTCGTTAAATGTACAAACCATTTTTTTTTTTACGCAACAATATGCTGGAATTACCTTTCTGATGCTTTAAAAAATATACAGTGATTTGCTGTTTTTACCAGGGTTCCCTTGAGCATGAGGAGAGTAAGATCCTCAGAGCTCAGCTTGAGTTAAACCAGGTGAAGGCTGACATCGAGCGGAAGCTGGCTGAGAAGGAGGAGGAGTTGGAACAGGCCAAGCGTAACCATCAAAGAGTTGTGGACACTCTGCAGAGCTCTCTGGAGGCTGAGACTCGCAGCAGAATTGAGGCTCTCAGAGTGAAGAAGAAGATGGAGGGAGATCTCAATGAGATGGAGATCCAGCTGAGCCAGGCCAACAGGCAGGCAGCAGAGGCTCAGAAACAGCTCAAGGGAGTCCATACTCATCTGAAGGTAAATACAAAAGTCCTACCAATGATGAAAATATGCTTGTGGATTGTTTTCTTCCTTCTTTTAATTATATAATTGTATTATCGTTTTTTACAGGACTTGCAGCTGCAGCTGGATGATACTCTCCATGCCAATGATGATCTGAAGGAGAACATTGCCATTGTGGAGAGACGTAACAACCTGTTGCAGGCTGAACTTGATGAGCTGAGGTCTGTGGTGGAGCAGACTGAAAGAGGTCGTAAACTTGCAGAGCAGGAACTGCTGGATGTCAGTGAGAGAGTTCAGCTGCTGCATTCTCAGGTATGTCCAAATCTGTAGTCACTATACAGTATAAAAATGAGCCAATATGTCCAGAGTAATTTATGTTTCAACAAGTGTTCACTGTAAAACGCTTTTGTGCAGAACACCAGCCTGCTGAACCAGAAGAAGAAGCTGGAGGGAGACACAGCTCAGCTTCAGAATGAAGTGGAGGAGGCGGTGCAGGAGTGCAGAAATGCTGAGGAGAAGGCGAAGAAGGCTGTGACTGATGCTGCCATGATGGCAGAAGAGCTAAAGAAGGAGCAGGACACCTGCGCTCACCTGGAGCGTATGAAGAAAAACATGGAACAAACAATCAAAGACCTGCAGCACCGTCTGGATGAAGCTGAGCAAATAGCCATGAAAGGTGGCAAGAAGCAGATCCAGAAGCTGGAGGCCAGGGTGAGAATTTAAAACTTTCACTGTATTGCCTTACAGTACTAGTGCACAATACAGGATTCTCTGGCTTTAACAAATGTATAAAAGCTGCATCCATAACTGTTGGTTTCAAGGTGAGAGAGTTGGAAACTGAGGTGGATATGGAACAAAAGAGAAGCAGTGACTCAGTGAAAGGTATACGCAAGTATGAGAGGCGCATCAAAGAGCTCACCTACCAGGTATATGCTCCACACATAATGACTCTGATAAACATTAAGCAACCATAAAAAGTCATGCTTTAGCAAATAATATGTAATAATTTAACAGACGGACGAGGATAAAAAGAATCTGAGCCGTCTGCAGGACCTGGTGGATAAGCTGCAACTGAAAGTTAAATCCTATAAGCGAGCTACAGAGGAGGCTGTAAGTGAAAATACTATACCTTCATTAATAAAACGTGTTCCCTTTGCTTTTTTATGAATCAGCTCAGTGCTACATCAGCGTTGTAGCAATACAAGAATTTTCCATACTCTTCTTTTAGGAGGAACAGTCCAATGCAAATCTGGGAAAGTTGCGCAAGTTACAGCATGAGCTCGAGGAAGCAGAAGAGAGGGCCGACATTGCAGAGTCTCAGGTCAACAAGCTGAGAGCAAAGAGCCGTGACTCTGGTGCTAAGGTCAGTAATCATTCAGAATATTACATGCAATATACAATGAGTAATTTCAGTGATTCAGAAATAAAAGATCTAGCTAACATTTCTTCTCTGTACAGAAAGGACATGACGAGGAGTAAAGCCTTTAACAGGATCTTCAACAATGTAGTTAAAATGTAGTATTTTAGTTTCCTTATTTCCCCATGCAACATGACTGGAATAAAGAATAAATTAGTTCTGATTGCACCACTTCTCTCATGTTCCTTGTGTTGTAAAAAGATTGAAAGAAATCACCACACAACAAAAAAATTTGAGGCCTGTACTGTGTAGCGGTAATAAAAACTCTTCCGCTCTTTTCATTTCGAAACATGAAAAGCAACTCTATTGGGAGGTGCAGCATTGTTCTTGTAAGACAATACACTGCACTGCTGGGCTGGCCGTTTGAGCTGCTGACTGCACAGCTGAAACAGCTGAGAATTAGCACCAACAAAGCAAGCTGAAGATCAAAACAGCTGCAAGTGGTTGAGCGAGAGGTTGAGTTGAGGCCTATATACAGTATATACTGTCAATGGTTAAGGCACTGATGAGGCTTATTACGGATTATGAGTTGGTAAAGAATGTTTTGAGTAAAAAAATAAATAAAACTCACTAGAAAGAGTCATGTATCATTGGTTTTATCATTTCACGACCATGGTTGTAAAAAGCTGCTTACATTATTTCACTCTATAATCAAGCTATTGTCACAATGTTCTGTGAAGTGACCTAAACATACTGTGGAATTGAACTGCTCCTAGGTGGTGTTTTTCAGTTAATATTGTTTCTCCTTCTGCAAACATAGCATTCAGTTTGACATACCCCTGTAAAAAAAATATATAGTCAACAGTCTATATAAAAACCGTCTTGCTGACAGGCATACTGATAGTAGAGCACTTTGTACAGCAGTGAACTACACTCAGTCACCAGTAGATGGTCAAAGAGCTCTACTCACAAGAATTTGTTTCTCCATGATAACTGAAAAGGGAAGTGAAAATACAGAGAAGGAATATCAATAAAATCAAATTCAATACTTGGAGGATTTGTTCTGGAGATGTCACAGTAGTCAGTATTATTGTGTAATATAGTGTTATTACAAAGTAATGCAGTGAAATAAGGCTGGAGTGTAGTTATCTGTAATATATAAACTTATTACATGTCAGAACTGTATTACTGCTCTGTTTGACATAGGATTATTCAACATTTTTATCGTGTATTTTGCTTTTATCTCTTTTCATAAGAATGTGTATGATAATATTATTGTAATTGCACTTTAAATCAGTGTTCTAAGCAGTTTCTCTTGTTTGGTAACCTCTTTTGTTTGACTTCAAACAACTGTACCTTCTACATACTCTGCACAGCCCGAGTATGCATGTATGCACACACACAAACTGATTACCCTCCCAGATTGTTTGATGCCACCATGACCATGCCCAGTGCTGCAACTCCCCATGGGAAAAGAGGCTGTTTATTGTTAGGTGTAAGCTAATACTGCTGTCATGTGCATTCAGTAGCTTTCATACCGCACAGCCTTACACAGAATTAGAAGAGTCTGTTTAAAAGCATTCAAATGGTTTCTGTTTTATTAGGTAAAATACAAATTGCGTGTAAGTGTGTGTGCATCACTTATATTTGGGTTGTGGATTTGTTATGCCTTACATGAAGAATTTAAGTAATTTCTTTCTAATTTTTGAGTTTTACATATATTCAGCATACAAGCCAAGTCCAAAACAAATAGCCTATTATAGCCCTTATTGTCACTTGTGGTCTTTATCACTGTAGAAAATACAAGATAAGCTTTCTGTCAGCCTCTCTTATCAGCCACCATTATCAAGCTGAGTCTCAGCTGAATCTCAGATCTGTGCCTTTACTCTTTACTCAGAGATCCCAGGGCTCTGGAAGAGACTTTTAGATGGAAGAAACATTACACGGTTGCAGTTTAAGCAGTGCTGCACTTTTGTTTTGATGACAGAATATAGAAAAACAGATTCAAAATCACCTCCCTGAAAACTATGACACAAGATGTGAAGCAGGCATGCCTTTCCCAGATGATGTCACTGCTAATAATACGAAGCAGATTGTACTGTCTCAGTGTGAATGTATCTCTGGTAAAAATTATACAAAAAAGAGAAAGTAATGGACACAAAGTACACTGCCAGCTAACATACACATACAAAAATGGTTTTATAACTAAACCCACCCAGTCTAATGGATGTTTTATCTAACCATAACCATAACAGTGTGTGTGTGTTGCCACAGCTAAGAACAAAAGGCAACACCCACTTGAATAATGTGAAACTGTTGAAAAGCCACACCTATAGCAGACACTATTTAAAGTAGACTGCATCTAGCAAAGTGCTGTGAATAATATGGTCATGGAAAAGCTCCCTGCAGACTGGAATGTAGCCCCAAGCACTAAATAGTCTATTTGTCATGCCAATAGTCAGCATACCTTTTCACTTATTATGACATGTAAATACTGCGATGGGAAATATAGCAATACAATGACACAATGAGACATAATGCTAGTTAATGTGACATCAAGCAGCAGCAAGAGTGTATGCAACTTTTTAAGCAGAAACACTCATTTAACAGAAGCATAAATACAAAAACATGACTCTTTTTGGAAATAATACATTTATTTATAAAATAGATATATTAAGACTTTAGATTATCACTGTGCAAATAAGCGCAAGCACTGTATAGAGAACTTTGTTATGTTTAATAACAAATGTTCTAACATACAGTATGATTATATTTCATCCCGGAATTCAAAAAACTTTGTCAACAAAACTTTTCAAATGTTTCTAAGCAACACTTCGCCAGCTTAAAAAAATGTGGCAAAGAAAATAAATTTTATCTGCTTTATGCTTACAACATTTACCACAATTCATTTAAATCTTCAAACATAGAAGAAAACAGATGATGAATTATCATATGATAGCACATTACCTCAGCACTTATTATTAAGTAGCAGGATGAAATGCAAACCTAAAGATAAGCCTCAAAATCCTAACCTTACTCAGTAGTTTGATCATTAACCTGACACAGATGCATTTCCTCAATCAGTGCCATGCAACTGTCCGAACTATTAAGGTTAAACAATTGTGAAACAGTGTTTGATATCCCTAGATTGGAGATCTGCAGTCATATACAGTATACTGTACACACATTATTAACTTTAAACCTATGCTGATAATATCATGCTTGCTCATTTAATGTATTTTTGACATGACAGCAACAACCACTTTTGAAAAAAGCACATCATGCAGGCAACTTATGTCTCCTTTGTGACAGAGTAAACAAACAAAAAAAAGAAAGAAAAGAGGCTACTTTACATAATAATTTTTAGCCCATCTTTCTTCTCGTGGATGTTTCTTTCTTCCTTTTTATAGATAATGAAGTCCAGGATCACAGAGACCTGACATCAGGGAGGAGTTCAAGCAATATTGTTCTGCTTTCATAATTCTGTCTCTTTTTCTTCGTCTAAGTAATATTCATCATCTGTTGTTGTGTCAGAGCTGCTGTCTGAAGACTCCTCAAAGGTGCTAAGACTCGACATATAGCCCCTGGAGGGCAAATGCCCTCTGGAGGATTGGCTGTCCCCTTGCTGTGATGCTCCTGGTGAGCTGGGAAAGGTAGGGGAGGAAAGGCTGGGAGGTTTAGACATGCGTCTGGACACTGGTGACAGAGGAGGTGTTGGAGGAGGGGTCGGAGGACCCTCTGTATCCAATGCAAAGTGACAAGTGTTCATGTTAGGGCTCCAATGGCGGGCTGGCTTTGATGTTGTGGTATTGTCAGCTGGAGAAGCAGAAACTCCTGAGCTCCAATTTGCCAAGCGCCTGGTCAGTGATCGAGGAAGAGATCTCGATCTCATTTTACCAGGGTCACTGGGGAAATATGACAATCGACACTCCTTACTAGGCTGGCAATCATATTCTGGGGTGGAATCAGAAGTAACAGACCAGTGATCCAAGCCCTTGCCAGTGCCTCCAGAAGTCAAGGCAGATTCAGAGAGGTCACCCACACTCATGAACCTAGACCCAGTGGAGATGCGACCAGGCCCTGAGGGTCGACTGGACAGTACTGAACTCACAGAAAACGATCTCCCAGGCTCAATGCCATACTTTAGGTCTGCATAGGAGGATGCTAAGCAATCCTTGTCCTGTCCTGGACTTGCACTTGGAGGGCCAGTGGATGCCCGACTTCTTCTAGAACCCCCCAGGCTGATCCCCTCTCCTGGCTCACATGGTGAGGGGGATTCTCTACGACGCTGTAGCTTTGGGCTGTAGAAGACATCATCTGTAACATCAGGTGAGGGAAATGGAGAGAGTGGGGAAAGAGAGGAGAAGGGGGAGAAGGGGCTTCTGGGGCTGGATGCAGACTTCCCGAACTGAGTAGGAAAAGGAGAAGAGGGGTTAGGACTCCTACCAGGACTGGGATCTCTACAAGAAAGAAATTGGTTTGGTGGTTTATAATCTGTCCCATTGTCTTTGTAAAAGTCAAACTGGAGCATCGTTGGGCTGGGGATTGTCAAATGAAGTTGGTTTTTACTTTCAGACGTGAAGTGTTCTGCACAAGCATTTTGCTCGTCTTGGTCAGTTTCAGGAGTTGATTTGTCTGACCAAATGTGAAACTTATTGTCCCCTACTGTGCTCCCAGAAGCAGACGGTGGTATTAGAGTGTATCTGTTTTGTGTCCATCTATTTGTAGCCTCGGTTCCTTTTTCATTCTCTGTCAGTACCATCCCTTTCTCCTGCTCTGGCTTCTCTAGTGTTTTGGTACTCTCAACGTTGATATCACTGACATTGCTGATGTCACTTGATCCACTAAGAGAAGGTGTTTGGGAGGCTCGCTTCCATTTCCATGGAAACAACATATCATCATCAGACCGTCTAGTGCTGAATGTTTGTCTCAGTCTGTTAAGGACCTGGTCCATTTTGTTATTAGTCTTGCTGGCCCTGTCTGACTCTGACCTTGTTAAACTGGAGTTTGGTGTGCTGACACTTTTCTTCAGTGCAAACCGGCTTCTCTTTGGGCTTTGCTCATTGTTGCTCTCCACTGAAAAAAATCTGCTTTTACCCAGTACACTCTCTTTTATTCTTCTGTTAGAGCTTTCATTACCAGGGGGCTGACTCTCTGTTGAGCTGCTACCACTGGAGCTCTGATCTGTATGACTAAATGGTTCACTTGTGGCTCTCTTACTCTGCACCATGTGTGACTGTTGACTTAACTTGGTTTCCACAGAAATGGGAGTATTTGCGGTATGTTGCGAAGGTTTAGTTGTGTTGTTCTTTGGGGCAGGTGCAGCTGTATCGCCTTTAGATTTAATGCTGTACACCAGTGTCTCAGTTACAAGTGTTGAGGAAGAGTTGTGTGCCTTATCACCCTGCAGAGACTGTGAGCTAATATGAACTCTGTTATCAACAAGTAATATCTTGCCATTCTGGAAGTCTTGGCAGTTGTTCTTGCCTTGATTATTGTTGACTTGGTCCATTTCTGAAACCACACACTTTGAATTTTCCCGGGTGACTGTTTTGTTTTGGAAAGGCAAAAACAGAGGCTGTGTTAGGCTGACAGGTGACGGAGGGGGTTTAGATGTTGTTGTTGCAACTGAGTCAGTATGTATGGGATGATGTGAGGTATAATTTGACTGTGAAGGATGTTTGAAGAGGGGTGATCTGGGTGTTACAGTTTTAATTTCTCCCTGTGTTGACCTGGCAGACATGAGAGTGGAGTAAGGTGGGGAGCTATATCGAAGCTTATAACCACTTGAAAAGTCAGGAGGGAGGGAGAGAGGAGCGGTAGAACGGCACTGAACTGTGCCTGACTCCACTGACTGTGTCCTCTCCTGTCTGGGTGTGGTTAGTTCCTGTCTTCCCTGGTCAAAGATCATAGTGTCACAAGGTCTTTGCTTAAATCTTTCTCGCTCTCTGGATGCAAAATCAGCAGAGTCCGATGATAAGGATCGATACTTTCCTCCCTTCGCCACCTGTATGCAGGAAGTCTTAGGGGTAGGGGAGCAAAGATTATTAGATGGACTGCTTGATCTTAGAAAGGAAAAGATAGATGGAGCCTTAACACTTCGCAGGGACCTGGAGGGAGATGGAGAGCTTGTTGGGACTTGAGATGGCTCTGGCTTCTCAACTGTGATGGGCTCAGAACTCTGCAGATCCACTCCTCCTCCATCCTCCCATGTTACTCGTCTCACTCTCTTTCCCTCACGCAGTTTCTTTGTGTTTCTTTCTTGGCTGCTTGTGAAAGTCCTACCTTCCTTAGGACTGGAAGTGTCTGAGTAGCTTGGGGTGGTAATGATAGGTGTTGCAGGAGGGGTTAAGAGAGAGGAAATGGTGATTGTGGGAGAAGACGCAAGGGCAGGAGTGACATGAGGAGCAAGGAGGGATGAGCTGGGGGAAGTTGTGGCTGCAGGATGGCTGCCAGTGGTTAATGAAGAGGTGGAAGAAGCAGTGGATATAGGACTGTAGTTGGTTTTAGAGAAAGCATTGACTGTAGGAATCAGGCTGGACTCAGTTTTAGGGTGGAAAGGTTTTGGAATGGATGCATAGCTTCTTTCAAAGCCAAGGAGTGTTACGTTTGTTGTGTTTGTCAATTTGGGTGATTGGGAAGAAGAGCCAGTGTATGATGAAGCATGAATATTGGTCTGTGAAGCAGTTGAGTGAGAGTGAAAGGAGGAACTACTTTTAGCATTTGGAGTAAGAGGTAGACCAGAGGCAGTTTTAGAGGTAAGAGATTGGCCTTTGAGAGTGTTGGTGGCAGCAAGGGAAAGAGATGGTTTGGTAAACTTTTGAGGGTCCTTGTTGTAAGGAGGTGCGGGGGTGCTGTTGGTTTTGGATGTACAATGATTTTTGTATTTGCTACTCTCAGTGGGTGTATTTGAACTCTTGGGATTTAGCAACGTAGGCGGTAATTCAGTTACATTCGCTCTAAATGAACTATGACTTGCATCATGCTTGGTGATATCTTTAGGATGACTCAGTATTGTTTGCACTGTTGCTTTGCTAATTTTAGAAGTAGACAAAACACCAGGCAAACTATGAGGCTTTAGTGGTTCTCTGTTGTTTAAATTGAAGCCATATTGCTGTTTGATAAGTCTGTCTGATTCATAGTCAGGTGAATCCTCAGTTAGTTTGAGGCTCTGAGCTCCTCCCTGTGTCTTCATAACAAGGTTTGTGTTACCTTTGCAAACTGACTCTGCTTTGTTATTGTTCTCTCTGTTGTTGGGGATTTGACAACTAAATCTTTTGTTGTCAGTCAGACTTGGATAGACCAAGTCACTTTTATCATTACAGGGCGTGTTTGGCTTGTCTATGATGTTCACTGTATCACTGAGCGTTAGAGGGGGACTGCCCTCCTTTGTAACTTGTTTCCACCAGGTAGTGGATGTCAGGGTGGTCCTTCTAGGGAGGGAAGAGCAGTCATATGGGGAATGTCTGGGTAAGGAGACAGAGCTCTCTGAGAATAAATTTTTACATTTGTCTGAACCACTGCACTTTTGTTGGATCTCTGATGGTCCTCTACTCAGAAATGCATGTTTGGAACATGAAAGAGCAGACTGGGTCCTATTTGTTGTTTGAGGTTGTCGGGTAAAGGGTGTGTCTTCTGTGTCTTTGTTTGTGGGTGAAGTGGAATAGAAGCGTGTTTCAAGTATGGTCCTTTCTCTGTGATTGGAAGATAATGGAGAAAGGATGGGCCCAGTTTCGGTTGTCCTATAAGAAATGGATGATGGAGAGAGGAGGGGCTTTGACCTCTCTTGCATATTATTGTTCTGAAAGGTTTGAGAAAGGTTTGTTGAGAATAATTTTCCATCTTGATCACTTGGCGAACTGTTCAGAGGCGAAGGGTTTATCTCAGAGACGGTGGAGGCTGCATTAGAGTTCCTGCCATTGGAATTGAATCTTCTTAAAGACAGAAGTAAACTGCTGGTTGTTGGTTTTGAGCTTAAAGAGGACATTCCTCCTTGATTACCAGTTTGTGGATTCCTCCTTTGTTCATTTGGGTCAAGGGAGAGGGGAGACATGGCAGATGCAGTTGTGGCTAAATGGCTTAAAGCACCTGTATCTGTCTGGCTAATCCTTCCAGAGTTTACATCCAAAGAGACAGTCTGAATCATTCTCCTCTTAGATTCACAGTCCAAGCTTGCCTGACCACTCTTAGTTGACCAGCCCACTGTGTTCCTTCTGGTCCCCAGAAATGGCCTTAACTGGGGTTGTGAGCCGTCTGTCAATGACCTCTCCATTGTCTCCTGAAAATGTTCCTGTGTACGGTTTTCTGCAGTGTTGGTCACGTCTTGTAAATTCCCCTGGGCTTCGGAATTGCCAGTTCCCTCAAATCTTTTCGTCCGTCTTAGTCTACCACTCCAGTGTGGGGCAAGAACTGTTACCACAGTGGAAGACAGCATTGTTCGAGAAGGGTTGGATTGCTCCAAAAGATCAGTTTGTTTCTCGAGTTTTGTATCGTCTTTTATATCTTCATCAAACTCAACTGATCTAGTGCCAGTCTTTGTTTGTGACCCATGTGGAAGTATGCACAAGCCATTACAATCATGTGGTCTAAACTCCCCATTTGAAAAACTGTGAGTTATACTCAAGTCTCTGGTAACCTCCAGTTCATTGCAACCAACTGTGATAACCTCTTCTTTCTTCTTGGCTGGTATCCTTTCAGATAATGGAGAGCAACTGGCTACCTTTTTAGGGGAGTTAGGTGGTGAAGTTTGTCCATTAACCTGTTGAGAGAAGAAGAATTACTGCAAGTGACCAGAAGTTGTGAACGATTTTTGCCAAAGGATCCAGAATATGCATTGAAAATTGACTATTTTTTGTTATTATTAAATTAATTTGGTTATAAATTAATTTGACCGCACAATTACCCACACTATATTTTTGTATTGTAACCACAGATCAGAAATGTCTGGCAGCTCTTTTTCGATGGTAACTTGACCTTATCTTATCATACCAATGCAAATTACTTGCACACTAAAGTAAAATGCTTTCTAACATTTACAGTAAGTATGCAACAAGTGGCCTGCTATCTAATTTGCAAATTGTGTGCTGACAGAAGCGAGAGCTTTGCTAAAGCTGCTGTTCCCATGCTCCCTTGACAAACAGGTTATTTTGAAAGACATGAGAGATTTCCAAGGACACACACACACAAGCATACACACCCTGTCCCTTGTAACTCCCTAAAAATAATAATCAATCTCAGATGTGTTCAAGAGTACACAACGTCACTTATTATGGTGTGATGTTTTCACATAACTACTTTGTGTGGTTTACAAAGAATTTCAGTGACTTTGATCTTGTTGAGAATTAGGTACTGTATGTATTGGGAGTATTTGGGGATTTATTTAATTATTAAAATTTAATTATTAGTTGTTTTTAGATCTTATTCTACTTTGTAATGATACCAGATTGAGCCCCTTAAAACGTTATGATATTAATGATTAAGATTGAGTCTACTTCTTACCTGACAGATGCTGTTCTCAGTCTCAGCCCTCTGTGCTTCAGTTAAACTGGTAGAACAGGAAAGAAGGCATAAAACCATTAGGCATACTACTGGTAGTTAGGATTAGACCTGTCACTTAACTATAGAATGGGCATAATGTACAATAACTACAACATGTTGGAGTTATTCTACATATGAACTATGAGAGCTATACTGACTGAGGTTAAACCAATATGATACATACATTTTCTGACATACTGAGCAGCTGTTAGAGTTCCTTAACAAAATACATCAATAAAAGACACACATCTCTGATATGATAAATATGTTTGCTGTGTAGATTTTTTGATTACATATTTGTTTCACAGTAAAGGGTTGCAGAAATATATTTATTTATGTTTATATTTATTACTAACACTGCAGGATGTGTTTTGCACATCAAAAAAGAAGACAGTAAGGAATAAATATGACGTGAGTTTTGTTTTTTCTCATCATGTTAAGTTGTGCTGTTTACAGTAAATATACATTCAGTGATATGTATGACACTTTACTTGTTTGAAACTCACACAGTAATGAAGTATGACAATGTTTGAGATTGAGTAAGAGGATTGGCTTTATTGACATTAAGACAAACCAGCTAAGAACCTTACATATTTAATCGCTTTATTTCTGTGATAATAAACAAAAAAGCTAATAAAATATCTTACCAATAAAACTTGAACAATTTTCATTTCTAGTTTAAAAGAATATGGACACACAGACACAGTCTTCCCATAATCTATTGTAATGTTTTTGTGTCAAACATTTGAAGGATCAGATGTCTAACACTGGCCACAGTAATGCTGATTAACAGGATGGTAAGCATTCCTCTCCTCTGTCCCTCTCTTTTCTTCTCTCTTTACTGAACAGTTTTCCCAGTGTCACATGGGCAAGTCACACCTCATAAACAATTATGACACGCTCAAACAAGATCACATTCAAGATCTCTATATAAGGTCATGTTCGATGACATGAAAAAACTGCAGGTAGTCAAAGGGCTGTGTTCTCTCTTGAACCAATAAAGCCAGTTCGATCAATGACCTCTATTGAAAAGACTAATGTAATCTCTGGCAGACATTGCATCACACATAGGCATGCAAATACACCCAAAGAAAATGTGCAGCACAACCCCCCCCCCCCACACACACACATAAATATAAAAAGCAATTATTATGTTGCACGAAAACAAAGTCTGATTTAAAATGACCTGTAACTGTCTTGTATCGCTGACTTGAGGAAGTACTGTCATGCAAAAAAATTAGCCCACATGTAGATGATTTGTGATAAGGTATGTAGGGACAGGTAAAGTCAGTCCTGGTAAGAGCTTCTCATCTTTCTATACTGGATACCAGAGCATGTAGTGCGAAGTTAAAATATAAAAAAAAGTGCATACTGCTAACTTTTGGACAGACAACAACACATGCGTGTAATCATGTCATGTCCAACACATAATTAAATGCACTTCTTGTTTATACAAGGAGCTGAACCTTCCAGATAGTGTGTCACAGGCCAAAGTATGCAGACAGGGTTCAGTGGTTCAGTTACTGTTTGACTAAATGTTGGAGATGACTTGTGATTTCAGGAACTCTGCAAGTATCATATCAGTGTGATATTGACACACATCGTCATGGGCCAGGTGCTCCATCTTCTTAAGATGGTTACAAGAATACTTGACAGTCTGCATGAATGTGCTACCACACAAATGGGCAGCACATGCATGATGCTATTGAGCCTGTATGGCTCAAGGTCCCTGCTTTAAGCACTTCTCGAAAGCCATGTCTGAGTGACTACAAGCTGTTCTGGGGACTTCACCAGGTGGAAACACTGATCTGTGAATCTCATTTTCAAGTCAGATCAATTTCAATTCTGCATACATGCACTGTATGTAGTTACATACACAGAACAGATTTGTGCTCACGAGAATGTCACACAGACAGATGGACACGATGACATAATTTCCTGCATGCCAAAACAGAACACAGTGTACACAGAGTAGCCTGTTACTTTTTAAACTATGGTTCAGGAAGCAAAATATTTTGTGTCTATGATCAAGGTCAGTACTGGAGTTAATTAATACCTGTCTCAGAGTAAAGTTATACCTTTCCTTGTTTACCTGTGTAGACACGGGTCTAAATTCCTCTTGAGTCTTAGATCTGGGTTGTCAAGGCCTGGATTGCTGGAGAGTCTGAGAGAGATGCAGGAGGTGAATCTGGGTCTAACGGGCCTCTGGGTCTGGACCTTTGAATCACCACGATGAGCAGCCTCTTCCTTTCTTCGTGTGTCCGCTCTTAATATTAGTGCTGTAATAGATTCAGAATAGAAGATTATGTTCCGGTCACTGCTGTAAATTTGAATAATTTAGGATGAACAGATTATTGAGGAGTACAGATATAATGTGTCTGATGTGTGTGCGTGCATGTCACCTTTGTGTCTTTCTTCCTGTCTGATGGCTGATGGGTGAGACTGCTGTCGTGCTCGGGTTTCATCACCATGATCACTCCCCTGCTTGAACGTTTTACCGAATGTTTCATCCTGCTGTTCACTACAAAACAAAGACACCAAACAAATAATTTAAGACTTTTTTTCCTGTAAAAGATTTGCAGCTTCTATACCACCGGCCGCCGCTCAGTGAAGTGAAGAGGCAGGGGCAGTAAGGGCCTTCCTGAACGATGGGTAGGATCAAGCTGGATTTATGGTCAACACAAGGTATAAATGGGAGTCCCACCGTAGATACCCGCAGCCTGTGTTTTGATTTATAGCTCAGTGTCAGATTTCACCTGTTGATAGCACCAACAGCCACCTTAGCCCAGACATGTGGATACATTTTTGAGGAGGTCAACGTATGGCGTACAGTTTCAGAGGCTCCATAGCTACACTGTAACCCCGTAATGCACAAACACAAGTCAAGCTTAATTTTAAAGGCGCAAAGAAACACAAAAGGCCCAATCTAGAGCCAGTGTTTAGTTTGTTCTGGGCTACTGTAGAAACATGGAGGACTCAATAGAAGAGCTCCTTCTGTGGATTAAAATGGCTCATTCTACGAAAACACAACGATTCTTATTTTCCTGTCACTATACACTAATAAAAACACACCTATGGTGATTATATTCCATTTTGCCAATAGATCCTCATAAACACCAGCCTTTCTTGCCCAGAATCAAATTGGTGGCCTTCCAGTCCCACATAGAGCAGCAAATATTGTTTCTATTATTGATTATTACTAATATTTTTTCAGAAAATAGTGAAAAATACCTATTCTATAGTAGAGCCGAAGGCAACGTCTTGTGTGCAACTGTCCAAGCTCAGAGACATTGAGTTTACTTGTCGACTGACCAATAGATTCATCAATTGACCTTCTTCTTCTTCTTCTATGCTGAATTACATAGAACACTCTCTTTCTCTTGTAATCCAATTTGCAAGCAGAAGATTTGAATTTTAAAAGGTTCAGCGAAAGAAAATCAAACAGCCACGCTTCCTTCAGCTTATCAGTTTGACAGTGCTGGACTGATAAGCAGTAGTTATATAACAATTCCACTCTGCTCACTCCACACTTTCTCTTACAACCAGAGCACAGAGCTAACACACCCACTCACACGGTCACTAAAACATGCATATGCACATTTACTGCTGCAGCCCAACGCTGAACCCACGCTAGTGTGCCAGCTGCCGAACACAATGATGACACCACAACACAGATGAGGCAGTTATCTAAATATCTAAATATGAATGTACGTGTCACTGCAACCTTTGTTCGCTAAAAACATAACAAATGAAATTACAGCAATTATTTGTCACCGGACATTCCAGGATCCCTTTTTCTCCTTTTAATCCAGTTCAGCAGTTTATAAGTGGATAGAAATTGCTACTTAAGATCCAGAATCGTTAACCGGCAGTGCTTCGCGTGATCATAAAGTAAGGCCTTTAGATCTTTCTTTCTCAACCTTTCTTAATAACATGGGCCATCTCTACCTCTCCCTATCCACCTTGCCTTCAGGGGTGACTCATTGGACTCATTAGAGCTTAATCTCTATTGGGCTATTATAAAAGCCTGACATGACATGACATGAGAGCGAAACAGAGAGAAATATGAGGAGGGAGGGAAGCAGGCATATCTTCATGTTCTTCAACAGTTACTTCAGTGCCAAAGCCAACACGCCTTCCATGTGGATGGTACTGAGAGTTTTTAATCCTACCTCTCCCTGAGGGAACAGAAGAAATCATAGCACATCACAACAACATTAATGCTTGTAAAGCTGTAAGCAACCATGTCTGGATAGTTTAACCAGTAAGTGATAGGCCTGTGATGGTGGAACATGAGGGGCTGTTGTTGTGACAGCATTCCCACAAAGTGGAACCACATAGTTTACGCTTGGGCCTACATCATTGGAAGACATTTACAGAAGTTCTGAAACAGTTATTTGATTAATCAAGTAGTCCAGAGGCTCAGAACATTTTTTTGTGTGACAGAAAATGAGAAAGCAGGTGAGAAAGGCAACTTTGAGGAGCAGAAAACAGTGAATGTTCAGCCTTTTTTCTGGACAAATAACATCCAACCAGCAGTCACAACCCAAAGGCATTCAGTTTAGTATCATATATGACAAAAAAAACTTGAAATCCTCACATTTGAAAACCTGAAACCAGCAAAGGTTTTGTTTCTGCTTTAAAAATTACAATTATACAATAATCTGAATTTTGGATGATTATTTTTCTGTTGATTGACTAATCAGTTAATTAAGTAATTCAGCCCTAACAACATTTCACTGCAGCGATAACACTGGTTATTGTGACAATTAATTTACTAAAGATCAGCACCACACCAATTTGTAATTCTATTTGAGTGCAGATTTTCCTATTAAAACATAAATATTTGTATCTTATTTTTTTAAACATATTTTTAGGGTTACATTTAAGGACTATTGTTGATTTATCATTAATCTGATAATTCTCCATTAATCAATTTGTTGTTTGGTCTATAAAAATGCCAGAAAATACTGAAATGACTGTATTTTTACAGTAATAATACTTATTACATTAGAGAAACTGGAACCAGTGAAGTCCAAGTATCTCCAGTTGGGAATCACAGAATTAGTTTTTCAGCATAAAATGAATGTACATCAATGATGATAATTAATCTAACCCTATCCCTAATTGGTCAAAGGTTTAAGTCGAGCTCAAAATGCCAAACAATCTCCACTTCAGCTATTTAAATGTGAGGATTTTCTGTTTTTCTTTGCTTTATTTACAATGGCACTTCGGGCTCTGGGCCATTACAGCATTTTGTAGAAATAACAACTACTTGAAAAAAGTAATCTCATTTGATTTCATTGATAAAGGAAATAAGTGTTGAGTGCAGCCTAATGACTAGGGTGAAAGGACACTATTACTTAATATGGATTAAATGTAATGTTTTATCAGGTTTAAATTATTATCCCATCTTGAGAGTAAAATCCATCAAATTAATCCCAGGCATTAGTGACCTCTAATCCTGTGTTAACAAAACGTGCACTGCCTGCAACCTGGAGTCATCGCTGCCGTCATGTAACATGCCTGTTATCTGGGCTGTGTGAACAGTCTGTTTTGATGGTTTGCAAGCTGATGACTAATTGTTATCTTTGACAGACTCTTTGGGCAGCTCCATTATGTGCAGTGTGTCTCATACAAGTATGTTGGTGTATTCTTCACTCGAGGTCAGCTTCGCTGTGGGTGTGTGCCCGCTCTCTCTGCCAGCTAACACTTACATAACCACAAGGATCCAGCCTGAACCAAAGTGTGGGTGTGTACTCAGCACTGACAAATACTGCAAATGATTTACACCCTAAACGTCTTTTCAAGACTCATCCAAAGAGATCTTAATGACTTTGCAGTTGACTGCGTGATTGGCAAAAGAAGATGGATAGGACAGAGTGAGACTTGTTCTGTTTGCTGCCACACCTTCGCCGTCTGTCAGACTTCCAGGAGAGCTGTTTATCTTTGACCCTATAGACTGGTATACAATAGATGGGGTTAGAGGGTATTAGCAGGAGGATGTGCAGAGGTAGAACTCCGGACATGCACAGACAGCAGCATTGTGTATACACGGTAGCAGCTTTGTTAAACTGCAGGCCTGGATGAGCATGTATGAGCTCGCCTGCTAAGCCACTGAAGCTGAACTGCTCTAAAATACATCAACCTAATGGTGCTGGTTTACAGGGTTAGTCAGAACAAATACATAGCTCACACAAAGACAGCCTCTGATAGGTTAGGTATTAAAGTGGACACATTATAAATGCACACATGATAGGCTACATAACAGCACTCAGTCTCAGTATCTGCTGATATTTCCTACATTCAACTAGAGCCCTGGTACGTCACGTTTTATGAGTTGGAAGATGAGCATATCACACCAAACCTTAGTCAAAAATCTGACAACTTGAGTAAGGCACGACTAAGGGCAACAGACGTTTAACACGAATACACACTTCAGTAAATATTCGACTTTCTTTCCAAGTTATTCCCGCCTCCTCCTGCTGTCAAACACACGATGGTGGGGCAGTGTCGAGCAGTGAACCAAGTGTAAAAATGTTGTATTACTGTGACAGCTTAAAGCCGAATTTACTAAAACCAGGTCATGCATCGTGAAAGGTTTCTTATCTGTATATGTTTCCAGATACGCGGTGCAACGTTAAACATACAGATTTCTACACGTAGTTCGGCGAGGGTTTCTCTCCCGTCAAGAGCAGCAGCTCGCACCACGCACAAAAGCTCTCCAGGACGGAGACAGAGATATAAAAAAAAGTACGTAGCAACATTAAAGATGTCGATATGAAGCACAACGTATACAGAATAATAACAAACTCGCGGTTAAAATGCCCGTTAAAGCCATTTGAACCTACCGTACAGTCGTAGTCCGTGTTTCTCGTGCTGTCCTGTGCAGAGGCGGACTTCTCTCTCCTCCTACAACTCTGAGCTCCAACTCTCCTGCGTCACTTGTTGACATCCTATTCTAACCGGTTGGGTTAGCCCTCACAATTCAGACTCACTCATTCAGACAATGCATCATAAAAATGTAGTGTGGTATTCACAGCAAGTGACCTGTGAACGGGCCAAGTACGAATGTCACTGTGGAGGTGAAAGTTCAACCTGTAGACAGGTGAGTGGCGCGACAAGTGCCACAGTGCAATGGCTGTCCGCGTTCCTTTCCAGAAAGGTACCCCCCCTCCCCCCTCCTCGGGCATTTCCTTCTCAGGACACTTTATCTGCATATGCTTAGGGCGAACTCACACAGGCTTATATTCCCAATCAGAAATGTGCATGTTTTTGCAGATTTCAATACAAACTACTAAACAGATTTTTTTTAAAACAACTGATTCCAACAATTCCTCGTTCCACAAACCCATAATCAGCAGTGCACAGTATTTGTTTTATGGATTTGCATCCATTGTGTGGGCATGTGGGAGTATGTTTATTTGTACTTGTGAGGAGAGGCTTGCACAGATTTATGCTGCCAGTATACTCTGTGTTCCTCTCTGTCAGCACATGACAATAGTTTTCTCTTTCATTTACAAAACAGGACAAACATGTCAGAGTTTTTTTTTTTTTTGTCCATCAGACATCCACACCCTCCACCACCTGCCAGACACTCTTCACAGCTTTGGCTCAGTTTCTGCAGAAGGAACAGTGTCCTCTTCCTGTTCTTTCATTTCTGCTGGCATGAGTAAGAAGAAAAATGTTCTACTTCAGCTCCTCCAATGCAGGAAACCTTGTTATTGCTAAACTCAGTGAAAATAAAACATAATCATATAGGTTTTGTTCTAGCAATAAAACAGAGAGCACGCTATCTATCTATCTATCTATAGGCCTTAATACAGTCCCTATAAGAAGGTTGAACGTTTTGGTGACAAATAACATCAGCTGCAGAGACTTTTCCATACAGTCAAAACTTTGTCTTAAAACAATACTCATGCTCATACTGTATGTACATCGAAACATTCCTCCTGTTCATTTTTGCTTCAGATAAACTTGGAATAAACTGAAATACCGTATATTATTTACATTTTTTACAGAATAAGGACTGTGGATTTTGTTCCCCTTCACTTCAACTGGAAGAGGTTAATGGCCAGTATGATCCGAAGCTCTCTTAATGTCCGACTTGAAAAATAGAACCTATCAAATGAATTGAGTCATCGGTAATGTGAACAATCAAGTTACAATTATCCTATTAGGCTATTCCAAAAACCCCTTACAAATACTGACATTATAGCTAATAAGAGTCTAATTGTTACAAGAATAAAAGACATTGGAGGGACAAATTCTTATCATCAGGTGGACAAAAAGAGGCCTACAAATTCAAACAGATCCAAGACGTTTTATTAAATGATGTGAGCTGATTAAATGATGTAACCTGTGCTGAATCCAGGCTGTTTCCTGATCGAGGTGCAATATAAGAGGAAACCAGCAGAGGTCAGTGTTGCTTTACAGAAGAAACGTTTGGCTGACTCTAACAACTGTTCAGTAATGCAGCCTGACAGATTCATTCCATCTAGATGTTTATAATTCAGTTACAATCATAAATATTACAAAGGGTCTGTTTTTCTATTACAATACAATTTAATGAATGATAAAATGGTAATAGGAAAGATTTGATATGGGAGCACTTGGTTGACTTTAGCTGTGTATGCATGTGTTCAGATGTGTCTGTCTTATTAAGAAAATACTAAGAAAAAGGAGGAGAGAAAATTGGAACCATTTTATTTGCACTGTTGCTCGATTCCTATTGGCTCCTGTGCTTATATCTCATAGAGTATCTCACGTTTATATATGTCCAATTCATGCAGAGAGTGTAATGCATTCAGTCCGCGCAGTTATTCAGTAAATATAATCCAGTCTCGGTGCTCTGGAGGAACCCCCTCCTCCCCCTCGTCCTCCCACAGAGGATGCAGGACGGTGTGAGTGGTCCTGAGCTCTGACTCCTGACGGCGCACAGAAGTGGCCGCGACCATCAAGAGGACAGTCACAGATTCACGCTCTGGGATCCGCTTTTCTCTCGCTTTTCTCTTTTTTTTTTTTGTTGGCTATTCTCCCCCCCCTTATCCAAATCCTTCACACGTTTCTGTTGACTCATTACAGCATGACGGAACTCGGACTCGCACATTTGGGATAATTTTCATAATGGTTCGCTTCAAATGTACATCTCCACGGAGCTGCAGCTGAGGTTTCATTCAAAGTCCGACTGGATTCTCACAGCGTGATGGATACAAATGAGTTCGCAGTACTGAAACTTTTTGTTGTTGGGATTTTGGGTGAGTATGATTTTTCTTGTATTTTTATTTCGCATGAACAAACAGCACCAAACTCACCCAAGTACTGATGGATACTGTGTTACTATAGGAAGAAATGTCATAGCAGCACACACAAGCCCTGCTGTTTTAACAGTTTTTGCCCACCTTTCCACTATAGTGAAGTCTAATGTATGGTCTAATAAAGCAATAAATAATTTAAGGCTATTATTTAATAAATGAGTTCTCCAGTGTACATTTACAGCTGCAAATTGCATACCATGCTCCTATCTATCACATTATGTGTCCCTCAGCAGTGCCTGAGTGCGTCAGGTTTCACATAATGCTAAGAAGTATCAGGAACATCACATCTCACAGCTCATGCACTGAGTAGGGAATATACAGTGCTGTACCATGGCATCACGCCCCAGTGGACAGACCTGACCTATATCGTGGCCAATGGGAATTTCTGGATCTGGCTCATTATGAACTGGTGGTACAGGGATGAAATCATGTATGAAATTTTGTTTCGTGTGGTGCAAGGAGGTGAATGATGAATCCACTCGCTGGAACATACACACGAGTTAAACTGCCGTGATTTTTGAGTGCTGCTGGGAATTGATCGAGATGAGTTCAAAGCATGAAATCTAGGTGTTCTCCAGTTGTTATTCAAAGCCCTGAAACGTCCTATAACTGTAGTAACAGCAGTAGCAGCAGAGTAGAGGCAGTAGAGTGACTCAGTGATGAAGAGGAGTTCAGATATCGAGCTGGTTTGCAGCACAGTGACTCTTTCCTTTGAGATAGTGAAGTAGAGTGCTCTTGGAAAGCAGTTGTTGAGCTGATATTTGGTCTGACGCTGTATGAAATGAACTGGCTTCCTCCCATGTGGACAACATGAGCCAGGTGATACAGGATTTCAATTTCAAGGTCTGTGGTTCAGAGAGACTTCAAACTCAGGCTCTTATCAATAGAGGATTGTTGTTGTTTACGTAGTGCACCTGAAGGGCTAAACCTGGAGGTGGATAAATGAAAGCATAGATCCAACACACTCCAGGAAGTCTTTTTGCCATTTTAAAGAGTGAAGCGTATAGCAGACAGGAGGATGTGGTCTATGTCCGGCCAAGACCTTCAGCCTGGACTCCCCTGGATCCCTGCCATGTAACAGCTGTGGCCCTACAGCAGTGTGAGGCCAAGCAGAAAACTAGCTTAGATAGTCTCTTTCTGACTCAAAGCATGTTTCATGCTCAGTGTCTCAAAATGCAGACTCTACTGTAATGAAAAGCAGAAGAAAAAAAAGATTTATGTGCGATCAAACTGACTCGCATTTATGTTGTGATTTTACTGCAGCTGCTGCTTTCAAACAATGAGAGGTTATATTCCCATGCTGGAAAGAGTAGAGTGTTTCCTGTGATAGCTCTGGTCTAGACTGAAAGAGTTTCCCATCATATCCCCCATTGGGAAGAAGAAGGTTGCATCTGGCACCATGCAGTGAGAAAACCAGAATACAACTCATTAAAATCTAAATGAGTCATTTTTCAGTGTAAGTCCGGCGTGGTGGATGCAGCAGAAACTTGAGTCCAAGGTTCCCATCTGTATCAAGTGATTCCCACTGACGGCGGAGCATCTGCTTACCCCAGTAAACGGCTATTCATACACTCTCACAGAAAGGGAAAATGCCTTGAGGTTCTTCTGTTCCACTGCAATCTGAAAAAAATTCTGTCAAAAAAAATCTTGTTTGTAAAATGCTATTCATAGACCTGTGAGAAGATTTTAGTACGTTGAGCTCATTTCAATGCATGTGGCTGACGTCCATATGTTGTGTCTGTACACATGGACGTTGTTATACACGGTGGTGTTTATCACCTGCACATTCCAGGAATGAAATGCTTTCAAGTTGAGTTATCAAGGGGAAATATTTGTTAAGTGAAAAAACGTGAGATGTTGCTTTCATCATGTTCGGGAAAAGGGCTCTTTACACAGATTCTGGTTTTGCCAAAAGTTCAACTTTGATTAACAGCGGGATCGTGAAAAGTTTACATTTGTATTTTCATATCCTGATTTGTTCATCTTAAAGGATGAATCTGGTATTTTTCTTATTGTCATCAAATACCTTAAAAAGACCAAATCCAACTAATCATATCAAATGTTCAATTTCAATCATCATCTGTGTATCCAAAGCCTGATATATCGTATTCCTCTGTGCCATGGAGCTCCATTGTTGCTCAAAAACTATTAAATGCTCATCAATCAACCACAGTGTTACCCTGGGTGACACGTTCCTGCATCACCATGAACACACACTGTAGTTTATTTTTGACTCAATCCCCCATACACCGTCCAGCTGCCGTAAATACATCCACTGTTGAAAATAGTCCATGGCAACTGTGAGTTTTAGAACATTATTCAGCCTTTTTTTGAAAGTACGTATATATGAGATTTTCATCTTTAGTAGGAATGAAAGGGCTTGGGGCTTAGAGCATTGCAGGACAGAGGATTTGTTATATAACAACAATATAAATTATTGCCAGCCTTATTCTAAACTGTCTAAACTATCAAGTTATAAAAACACCAAGATGTGTGATCAGAAGTGTCATGGACTCATTCAGTCAGAATTTAGAAAACCTGTCAGGTTTGTAAATGTCTATTAGAAGTCCCTTTTGAGATCTCTGCTGTTCAGTACACATGCAGATACATAAGAATATCAGTGAATTGCTCCAGATTTTACTTGGTTTATTCAGTTTAAGCATTCACATGTCTACACCCCTGTGTTCAAGAGTCAGCATGTATACGGGTAAAATGTGTTGCTGATTTCCAGACATGTTACATTTGAGTTTCCTCCCCAGCTCATCTGCAGTGCGTGTTAAGAGCATTATTAATCTTTCAGTTGCCTGTTAAAGATTCATGCACCAGAAGGGGCTTGAACTTTGTCTCTTCGCTCATCCTGCTCATATCAGAGTCTAATACTGAGGTCTTGCTGACTCCAAGGAACAGAGTGTGTTTCTGACTAAGCAGCACCATATGGTCAACAGATTGCAGAGGCATTTTACACTTTATAGATGTGCTTATTAACTCATCTGTCCATCTGACCACTCCTTATTTAAAAGTTTCAGTAAAAAAAGGTATTAGAAGCTGCTGCAGCTTAGATTAGAGCTCATCTAAACTGCAGAAGCACACTCCAAATAATGTTGTTACATTACAACGATACTCTGTAGTATAGTGTCAAATAATAAACTAGATATGTGGCACAAGTAATACCGATCTGAATTCAAACCACCAATGAAACGATTAGTCAATTAATTTTTATGATTGATTAATTGTTAAGGTCATTTTTGACACTCACTGGTGTCTGCTTCTCAATTATGCTGTTTTTTAGTGTTCTATAATAGCAAACTGAATATCTTTGCTGTTTGGACTGGTGGTTGGACAAAACAAACTATTTAAAGATGTCAACTTGACATTTTGCACTATTTTCTAGAACATTTAGAGACCAAACGTTTAAATGATTACTCGAGAAAATAATCAGCAAATGAATCCTAATAAAAAGAATTGTGATTTGCAGCCATACAACCTGTGCATGTTAGAAACTCTTATAACATCATTCAGGCTTCAGAAATGCTGCAACTCTAACGCATTAAAAGTCTGAGGTGGCAGCAGGACAAACCAACCAACCATTATCCGGTATCGTTCTCAGGGGACGTCATATACCAGTACTGGCTTCTCAAAGGAGAAGCAAGAGGGCGGAGTTGGAGCCAGATGGTTAGTTGTCTCTTTATATCCAAGTATAAAAGATCCGACAGAGAGGTGGTTTTCTGTCAGAGGCAAGTCAGATTTTCCAATCACAGAAAAGAATAGGTGTTAATGAGTGCTATTAAACCATACTAACTACGAGTATTGAAGTGAATGTGTTACTCAAAACTGAGCCTGAAGACTGAAATTAATGATAATGATGGACTGAAATAAGCTAATGATGACAAGAGAGGCCCACACCTAATGATCAGGAGTAATTTTATTCACAGAGGACAAAATGTGTGGTCAATAAATAATTATCAGGTTTACTGAAATTAGTTAAAACGATGACAGCCGACACGATGTAATGAGTTAAAACCGTCAGACAAATTGAATGAGGAACATACTCAACACTTCCATATCTGTGTGGCAGTAATCCACCGCTGTTTGAATCAGTTGGTGTTAAAGCATGCTGAGATTAACATTTAATTAACACCCAAGCAGCCTTTTATATTCTGAAACAGATCCAGCCTCATGTTGAGGTGTTAACAGTGCTTTGGTAACTGAGCAGAGCTCTTTGTTAATACTTCTTCGTCACAGAAATAGTCTGTAATAGTGTAATAGTCTGCAACAGCTGCAAGTATTTGGTTAGGTATTTTTCGACGAAAGAGTAGTCAGAATTTCTTGGGAGAGTGTGTCATTCACTCTTCAGAGTGCTGGAATATTTGGGAAAACAGGATGCATACTTTTGTACAAAGTATACTGTGGCTACAGATGGAGCCGAAGTCCAAAAAGTTGATCCTTTTTTGTTGGAAACTGCATATCATTAGCCCAACAATTTTATAGGAGCGCTGAATGATAAATTGGTGACGTACTGTGTTAATATAGTAAGGTTTAAATTAGAGGAAATCATTGTAGATTCTCTTTTGGTGATTAATTGGTTGTTAATGGCAAAATGATAATAATGTCATATTACTTTAAGATATTGTTTGGAGGGTGTTGCAGTTTTTCTTAATAAAGAGGAAGGTCCAAGGAAAATATTTATAATTCTGGGGAGGGTTTTGCTTTTAAAAAAATGAGACATAATGTTCAGTCCCCCTCCACATCCCAATGATTTTCATCTTCCCTTACTAAGGCTTTACAGTGATGTCATTACTTCTTTTAGAAGATATATATGTTGTGAGTTCTTGCTAACGGTATCTATTCGCTGATTACCCTACATTCAGGAATGAGCTGCTTTTGTTCAGATGGGGAGGGTTTGTAAACTCTAATACCTCTAAACTCGGCTGGATGCTTGT